CACTATCTTGTGAAAACTGAAAAGGGAATACAGCGTTGAATACAAAGTATAAAAACCCATTCATATTTCAATTTTACAAGTAGACAAATTTTAAGCCTTTAGATAACTATAATTCTTTATATAGTACCTTACTATTGCAGGGGTAACCCATATAATAAGGCATGACTGTTAGTGTGCTTTAATTACTCCACAGGAAATAAGGGATAAGGCGGATATTGGTAAACCAGTATTACCAATCAGTCCTATTCCCTTTTAATTATAATGGCCACTGTGGTCAAAGCACCCTATAATAATTATTATTTACTCTCTAACAGCAAAGGGCAATTTTGTACCTTAATTAATACACAATTGTCATACAAAATACTAAACTGTTTCATTACATATTTTATGTCTGAACCTTTGACATTGCAACAAAACATGCAGGTTTGGGTGAGGTAAAAAAATTTTCTGGCATTTCACCGGTGGGGTAGCTAGAAATTTTGTTTTGAAAAAGGTGGGGTAATGATTTTTCCGGCTTCATTTATATACTTTCCCTTTGGCCCCCACCCCTACCATAAATAATGACCAGTCCCTAATACTCAAATATTTGATAGCAAGAAAATCCAAAGAATTATGAGAAATACATCAGTTTAATTTTCAAGCAGCTTCTGCAATAACTAAAACATACACTTAACAAAACTTTCCAATACTTTTACTCATCATTGCGGAATAATTCAGTGAGACATTGTTACCCATTAAGTAGCAAGAGTTTGTCATGCATTTGTAAATTCATTGAGCCTTAGACCACAATTAGCCATTTCCGAATCGACAATCCGCATAACATCTAATTGGAATTGTTTGGAGGGACAAAACAAAGTGGGAAGAAACTTTACGAGTTAAAATTGGTGCAAGAAAGTTTGAAAGATGCCTCATTATCTCTAAACAAATTTCCTAAAAGTTGTTTACACTATTGGATGTATTGGTTCTGTGTCTTATGACTGGCGATGTCTATTGCACTGTCCCTCCAAACAATCCACACATGTATGCTTTGCAGTCTCAATTGGAAAATGGCTGATGCTCTATGATTATTTACTACTTTGTCCAATGCTGGACATTATATTCCTCATCAAAGGTAAACCTTTTCAACTTTCAACCAGAGTGTATGCCAACACATAAAGGTTATACCTATAGATCATGCAACACAGTTGTTTCATTGTGACTACTTCACTCTGCTTTGTTTTTAAACCAGATGGAAAGCCTTGTACATAGGCCTTTTAGGCTTATGGCTTAATGTGTTAATTAGCCTTTATGTGGCGACCCCTTCCTCTAAAGGAGAGGGTTCACTGCATGTATGCAAAATAAGGCCATATAGTTTTTAGGGTATCAACTCTTTAAATGTCTAACTCTCAACTCTTTTTTGATTTTTTTTCTGCTGTCGGATTTCCATCAGCTGGTCATCATCTGGAATGGTAACTTCATAACCCTGGAAATGGCTATTAAAACAGATGGTATCTAGTAGCTGCATCACAAACTGGATTGCTGCAAGATTTTTGGCAACAACTACAATTAAATTGCTAATCTTCCAAAACCTTGGCATGTCATCATCATCATAACCACCATGTTGATGGCATTGCATCTGTATTTATGTACCGGTACATAATTTTTATTCTGTCTAAAAGTTGAAAGCCAGGGGCCGGTTGTATCAAGGATATTTAGCTCAACTATCAAACAAATCCATGAACTATAGACTACAATCAAACTAATATTTTCTGTTCAAACATAACAACCATGCATTGAACTACACATTTCGTTGATAAAATTGAAGTTCAATTTTTTACAAAATGAATAGGAATGTTTTGAAATTTGTGCTTATCCACCGTTTAAGCTAAACGCCTTTGAAACAACCGGCTCCTGGTTATCCTAACCCATTGAGTGGCGATGCACCCTGATGCACCCTACTTTAGTATTTTACTCTGCCTAACGCCAGACAATTTTACTCGTCAAAGGGAGAGCGCTGGCACTTAATGGGTTAACCCGCCTATCTGCCCATATGTCTAGTTAACCTATTCAGTGGCGATGCTCCCTGATGCACCCTACTTTAGCATTTTACTCTGTCTAACGCCAGACGATTTTACTCATCAAGGGGAGAGCGCTGGCGCTTAATGGGTTAACCCGCCTATCTGCCCATATGTCTAGTTAACCTATTCAGTGGCGATGCTCCCTGATGCACCCTACTTTAGCATTTTACTCTGTCTAACGCCAGACGATTTTACTCGTCAAGGGGAGAGCGCTGGCGCTTAATGGGTTAACCCGCTTATCTGCCCATATGTCTAGTTGACCTATTCAGTGGCGATGCTCCCTGATGCACCCTACTTTAGCATTTTACTCTGTCTAACGCCAGACGATTTTACTCGTCAAGGGGAGAGCGCTGGCGCTTAATGGCCGGGTTAACTAGCTAGCCTATCTACCCATGTGTCTATAGTTAACCCATTGAGTGGCAATGCTCCCTGATGCACCCTACTTTAGTATTTTACTCTGTCTAACGCCAGACGATTTTACTCATCAAGGGGAGAGCGCTGGCGCTTAATTAATGGGTTAATATAAGCAAAATCTTGTTTTATCAAATTATCCATTGTTAGATGGCATGCAAAATAACAACACAGCATTGCCAAGAATTTGTATTCTTGTTGGAATTTCCTATATTGAGCACTTACTATATTTCACTCTGTCTAACAATTTGGAACTAATTTGATAAAGGAACATGGCAATAATGCCTCATAAAGGCCACATGCATTATATTGTTTTGGTTCAGTTTTTTATACACTATGCATGGATAGACTTTAATTGGCAAAAGTACAATGGTGACAGTTTTGTAAATAAGTTAATATTGAGGAAGATAATTGTATAATGTTTTGATAGATATTTTCAACGTTAAATTTTATTAAAGTTAAAATATAAACTGGTTTTTGATATTAATACCTTGTATACTATATTCACAATATTCCGAGGACCATAGTTGTTGTACAGGTATTTTCATCGTTTGCAATTTGTCAATTACTGGTAACTTGTTTTAGTCTTTCAGAAAGCAATGATATCTCGAAGAACACAAGACTTTATGTGACAATTTCGATATATTTTTATTGCAAATAAAACAAAAATATCAAGCAAACGTCGATTGTATCCGTGCATGTGATTCATTGACTTTTAATACAGTAATAATGTGCATGTGCATTTATGGATAGCGTGCTACAATAACGTGGTCGTACTGTAATTCCTTCGCAGTTGCCAGTTGCTATGCAACCAACACATCGATATTTTAATATATTGATCCTCAAAGGAAATGTTTTTTAAAAGACGATAGCATAAACTAAGATATAAATGGACCATTTCGCAAGGTAAGTTTCTGACATTCGAAGGAAGAAATAATTTTTTAACCCCTGAAACGGAGTTAGATTTATTTAACTCCTTAAAAGGTGTTATATTTTAACACCCAATGAGTGTTATTTTAACTCCAAAACTGGGGTTAAATTTTAACACCTTAATTGGTGTTATTTGTAACCCCTAAAAAAGGATTATTTTAGACTAAACGTCGTAACCCCTCTTTTTGGTGTTAAAATAACACCCCGAAAATAACAGTGTATATGAGTCTTGATTTGACTTACAATTTGCGTAGCAATGCATATAAAAAGTCCTCTGAGACGTTGCCATAAACGAAGGCTCATTTGTAGGAATCTAAATTAAGCAGTGTAAAGGTATTACAGTTACTTAGCTTGGCCTTGGCGACAAACAGTACAAAGTTTGCTATGTATGCACATTGTATTAAAAACGTATTTAAACTGATCAAGTTTGTGACAATTGCAGTATATTGGAGCAATCTCTTGAAGTTGATTTATTTAGCCCACTGCCAACTGATATCACAGCAAGTTGTTGATTTCGATGCTTACGATCTCGAAGTTGTGTTGTAAATTACTTTAGCGGTAAGTGTCCTCACAAGAGAGAGAGATTGCATTCATGTCGTAGTTGGTGCTCATATCGCCACAAATCTGCAATTATAATAATACAAGTTTAACTCTTTCGTCGTGTTTACACTACAAGTCTTGGCCTATATAGCCTTTGCCAGGTCAAGGTAAGTTGTTTACACCATTATACTATTATACTATTTTTTTGAGACTGGCTCACTTTGGCCTCGAATTTTGTAATTGATTTTGTGTATTTTTATGTGTTGAGACATTAGAGAGTTTTAAATTGACGATTACGCCAAACTGTGAATTTCATAAGGATTGTCATTATCGGCAAATTGTGGATTCATAAGGATTGTCATTATTTTCATTAAATATAGTACATTTTATTTCGCTTACCCCCCACGAAAATACGATTTCAGCCATATTTTGCCGTTTTGTTTGCTTTTTATCGCCGAGTCTCGCTAATATTATCCAGTTGTTGTATTTTTACATAATCATGAATGGCTGAAAAAGACTTCAAAAAAGGTTTCATCAAATTTGGAAACAGTGCAGTGTATTTTCTCTTCGATATTGTGTCCTTCGATATTTCGTGAAATATGGCGCCATTGCAATGGCGCGCCGAGTCTCTGCCCGATAAATGCCACTTCTTCGTCTTTACACTATTTTACTTAATTACACTATTTTACTTACTCGTCTTAACACTATCTTTACACTATTTTATTTACCATTACACTATTTTTTTGAGACTGGCTCACTTTCTTTGGCCTAGAATTTTGTATTGATTTTCTGTATTTTTATGTGTTGTGACGTTAGGGAGTTTTAAATTGACGATTACGGCAAACGTCAAACCGCTATAATGAAGTTTTTGGTTTTACAACTCTATTATAACAGCTTTTAAACCAGTTTTGAAATATATTAAATAATTATTAAACTTGTGTTCTTTAACAATGATTTAAGAAAGCAAATTAACTACTATAGTCACGTATTCACCAAAGCTGTAAATTAAGATCTGGTGTTTGAAGTTGATTTTGGCCGTGTATAAATTTCATGCTTGAACTGCTGCGAGGGCTTATAGTCGTCAAAGCATAACATTTATATGCCAATCGTAAACTTCAAACGTTACATCTTTATTTACTGCTAGTTTTGTGAATACATGACTAGTGGTTAATTTGTTTTCTTGAATCATTGTTAAGTACTACAAGTTTAATAATTATTTAATATATCTGAATATATATATAATTATAATATACCGGGTGTCCCAAAAAAAAGTACTCCGGTTTGATTCGTAATAACTTCTAAACAAGTAAATCTTTTAAAGAGAAATAACTTGCATCAAATAGAGGAAGGACTAACTTAGATTTTGATATATTACAGTTGTATTTCACTTAAAAATTCACGGAGATATTAATGTTTAAAATCGGGAGCATATTTCTGGATGTGTCTGAAATATGCAAAAAATGGCGTATCAAATATTAATCAAGATTTGCCCGACTAAAACATGCACGATTACCAGTAAATAAATGACACTTGACAAAGTGTATATTATGAAACAAAGTCTGTATTATTATATACAAAATACAAGCAAGATTTATTCGTCCGAAATCTGTGTGTGTTCCTAGCACGAATACGTTTCCTTATTCCATGAGACCACTGCATCGCGAAGGATCATCATGGATCGTTCGTAGTTCTGAATTAGGGCATGCTGTCACAATGGAATTGTGAAGCTCTTCTAACTTCTGCAACGTTCTGAAATCTTGTTAAGAACACTAAAACTCATTTGCCTTTTCTTAATCTTTTTAAGTTCAGAATAAACTGAGAATGAAACACAATCAAACCATACAACTCCATAAGACATAACAATTAAGCATGCAACTCCCTAGAGATCATCCAACATTTTTGGAACAAAACGTACGGTAACAAAATAGTAGCGTTGATACTGTGATGTGTATTTGCAAAAAGCAATATTATTTCCTTCATTGCAGAATAATATTCATCCTGCTCTAACCGAGAAATAATCAACTCTGTTTTGAGCCAATGAAAAACATAAAAAAATTAGGCTAAGAAAAATTCTTTCATGTACCTTTGTAAAGTTTGTAAAGACCTATTAAATACTTGCATAATTTCGTACGTTCATATTTCAGGAAACAATGAGCTAAGACTTACATGTAAGAAGTCTAAATCTACGCCATAACCCTTACAAACCCTAACGACATTTCGCTGAAATACAATTTAGCCTGGTATGTCATCAAGCAAACAAACGCTGAAGTTAATATTTGATATGCCGATATTCGCTAATTTTAGACACATCCCAAAATATGCTCCCGATTTTGAACATTAATACCTCCGTGAATTTTTAAGTAAAATACAACTGTAATATATCAAAATCTAAGTTAGTCCTTCCTCTATTTAATGCAAGTTATTTCTGTTTGATAGCTTTACTTGTTTAGAAGTTATTATAAATCAAACCGGAGTACTTTTTTTTGGGACACCCGGTATATATATTGACTTTACGTTCATGCAATTTTCCTTCAGCTCCATACTGCATATCTCTCCTACACCCAAAGCCATATTTTCAACTGAATTTGGTCCACCTAACAAGAATTAAAGGACTTAGAATATTACGAGTTGCTCATCCGACCCACGATGATGGTGATTTTGGTTTGCGGTTAATGTACAGTATAGATGGATGTAAATGGAAGATATTTGGTGCGAGGCCAAAACTACCACGAGTTACTATTTCTAACGCTACGAATGGAACTTCAGGCAGTCCAGAAATAAAACAGGTATCGTATTTCTGAGTGGGCAGACAGTAGGTGGCGGTCAGAAATGTTTACACCGATGGGAGTGATCTAAAGCCCTGGGCAAACTAGGAAACATTGTTGCGGAAACATTTGTGATTCTCGATGTTTCCTCAAATGTTTCCATGTTTGCCCACCCGTGGAAACATTGTTGCGGAAACAAAATTTGCTTCCCGGGAAGCAAAAATGTTTCCTACCAAATTCAGAAACATTTGATGTTTCCCTATGTTCCTCACTAATGTTTCCTAGTGTTTGCCCACTCTTGGAAACATGGCGAAACATTGGTAGGAAACAATGTTTCCGCAACAATGTTTCCTAGTTTGCCCAGGGCTTAACAATATAGGGAGTTTACGTTTAACGTTTGCGGGAATGGCAAACGGCTTTTCTTGGCAAAATTTTCGTTCGATTTCTGCGTGTCATATTTTCTTTCATATGACACAGGAATAGTTTTATAGCTTTATAGCGCAAATTTTTTCTTTGCCTGACGTTTGTCGTTTGTCGTTGAACGCGAAGCTTAAGCTCTCTAATTTCTGTATTTGCACGACTACAACACACTAAGTCCCCATCAGATGGTGAAACAGACGTGAAAAAGTGTTTAATGTTCCTCGGATCCTGAATTTCCATTTTCGAATGTTCCTGCGCACTAAATATAATGGAAAATTTGACTGTGCATGACATCAACACAATCTCAAATGACAGATAAGGAAGTACGATATAATGATTCCTTAAAGGACATCGGCAACGGATTTTTTTATTGGCTATTTTTGTTCACGTTGGTTATCTTAATAAGGATATGTATTTTATTTGGAATGAAAATTATTCGATTCAGAGTAAAAAGCGAATGAAGTTGGTCTAATTATGCATAGTGTCCGCCATCTTGAAGAAATTCGATCCCGATATGCTAATTTATGCTGAAATGCCTTACTGACGTCATTGGCAGGGGAACGGATTATACAACGTATACGGCCCTTCTAAATAACTATAGTTTACATGCTGTTTTTTTTCTATATTATTTGAGGAAATTGCATAAAAATGACATAGCAACCTTGTTTATTTCTATAAGTTTCCTTCAATAAGCGTTCTTTCGCCTTGCGGAAAATATGCGACGAGTATTTACGTCTTAGTGTAGGAGCGCCGAACATCTTGCGTCAATGCAATATACAGTTGACA